AAGACCCTATTCTCATTATTCAGGCCCCCACAGTACCACTGTGCGTCGAGTACTGCTCGTTCGTACTTCCACTACTACACGAGACACTACCGACGCCAGGACTCGTGTTTCTGCTTGTTACACTTGCTGTTGCCATTGCGACTACCGTTTGTTTAAGGCTTGAAGCCTCAAACCCTAACCACCCCAAGCCCCGGAAAAGTTGGAGAAGGCCCCACAATAGTCGATCACCTCTCTACGGCTCTGCTTTGTGCATGGAGAGATGGTGGGGCTTGGTATCTCGGTTTGAGGTTTGAGGAGTTCTGATTAGTCCGGGTTCCAGTCCCACAGGTTTTGCACTCTTGGACGAAAGATATGCAGCATAACCTGCCCTGAGGAACCCTAAACCCTAAACCCCTAAACCCTAAACCCTGCATCAGAGGCCATCTTGGACTGACATCACTGCCACTGTGGCACGAGCTGAAGCTGTTGCACATCCTCCAAGGATCCATGTACCCAAATAGTATACTTCAGCCTCAAAATGGTTTCTATATTGGTGCTTTGGGGCCAAAGTATATACTATTTGGGTACATGGATCCTCTGGGATCTGTGGCGTTGTACGTTTGTTGCTTCCCTCCGCCAAACATATCCTGGAGTGCTTCTAGACCTTGGTCAAGAAATAGAAGCAGTTTCCGTCAATCCTGCGCACGTCTCTCCAGCACAACGCAAGACTTAAAACATACATCACGGAACCTCTTTAAGGCTTTTCAACCTCTGAAAACTTAACGTTCCACATGATATCGGCGTCCTAAACCCTAAACCTTAAACCCAAACCCCACAACTCCCTAACTTCTAGACTCTAGACCCTGGACCCCAAACTTCTAAACCCCAAACAAAAACCCGAAACCTCAAACCCCTAAACATCCAAGCCCAAAACCCCTATATGGGCGGTTATCTAGAGCCCTTTTGGGGTCCCTATTGTAGTACGGCAGCTACCATTTAAGGTACCCCAAAAGGGATCCTAATTTGACAGCCACGCATATACACCTCCAAACCCTGAGCCCCCAAACTTACCTTTGGTTAGTAGGGAATGGAGGAATGGGGTACAAGTATAACTACTCTTACTACCATTCTTCCATTCCCTACTAACCAAAGGCAAGAACCCTGAGCCCCCAAACCCTAAACCCTAAACCCTAAACCGTAACCCTGAGCCCCCAAAGAGGCAGTCTCCAAGTGGATGGCCGCCGGCGGGCCAAAGCCTGGGCCTTTCTGGGCGCCTGCCAGGGCTCCTTAAAAGGGTCCCACTAAAGGGTTCCTTTAAAGGGAACTCCAGAAAGTTGGAATATGGTTTCAGGGTAGGATACCTTATAATTTACCATAGAAGGGTTTAGGAGAATCATATTCCAACTTTCTGGCTTTTACTTTATAAGGTTCCTCTGATTGGCTCTAAGGGTGGGATGATGGTAGGTGGAGTAATCCCAAAATAAGAGTCCTTCTCTTTGGGATCCTTGTGGCATCAGCCTACAGCCGGGGAGGATTGGGAGCAGCCCAGCTTATGGCCTTGTGCTTGGGCAGCGCCAGCTTGGGGTCCGAGACAAGCCCACAGCTGGCCAGCCCACTCGCCGCCAATGGTGCATCACCGGCACCCCTACCACGTGGTCCGATGTGGATCTCCAGCAGCTGATTCGGGACCAAACGGTCTTTACTGATGTGGAGGTGCTGCGCCGACACTTCCGCCGCACCCAGTGCTCTTGGTGGGTGCGTGCCAGCACCCTGGAGACAGCCGATGCTCATCAGCTTATGGCCGAGCATCAGGGTGACACGCTTAGCTTAGCCTTTGGATGCTTCCGGCAATCCTACCTACCTTAATCCCACCTTTTGAAGCCTCCAAGACCCTTAGTTGCTTGTTTTAGTGACAGGGTCAGGGCTTAGGGGGTCTCGGGTTAGGGTTTGGGGTTTAGGGGCTTAGGGTCAGGGTTTGGGCGTTAGGGTTTAGGGTTTGGGTTTCGGGAAACCTGAATCCCTCTGAACCTACTTCTTTCAGGGCTCATAGGATGCATTTACACCAGGAGCCTCCAACAAAATTTAGTTTTACGGAGTCAGGGTACGTAGGATTTAAGGTTTAGGGTTCGGGTTTGGAGTCTATGTTTCGGTCTAGGGTTTAGGATTTTTAGGGGGCGGGGGGGGGGGGGGGGGGGGAGGGGGTTCACAGCATGTTTCTGGGTTTTCACCGGGTTGGGCTGTTTCCACTGTCTTATATGAATGTATATGAGGTTTGCACATATGTTTACTGTAGGGTTGCATGTACTTTAGGGTCTCACAAAGATTTTTCTGGTTTTTACCGGGTGTCTCGCAGGATTGCCCTCTGAAGCTTGTAGGGTTTAGGGGCTTAATCTAGGGTACAAAAGAAGGCGCTGCTGGTTGTAAATGCATCTTTGTCTCTCACCCTGTCAATTGTACTCTCCCAGTCTCTCTCTTCCGGCCATAGTATAGAAGCCAAAGTGATTATACATATTTTTCCTGTATGCTTTCTCATTCTGCTTTGTGTTTCCTCATTAGTATAGTATGACCCGAAACCCTGTTCGAATTAGTAGCGCCCCTGTCCTAAAGCCTTACAGTCGTCCCTACAGTAACCCTTGAAGGGAAGCCACCATTGTTGTATAGTGTACCCCCAAACGCCCTTGTCGCTAAACCCTAAAACCCTACACCCCAAACCCTAAACCCCAAACCCCTAAATCCCCTAGACCCCTAAACCCCAAACGCCCTTGTCGCTAAACCCTAAAACCCTACACCCCAAACCCTAAACCCAAAACCCCTAAATCCCCTAGACCCCTAAACCCCAAACGCCCTTGTCGCTAAACCCTAAACCCTACACTCCAAACCCTAAACCCAAAACCCCTAAATCCCCTAGACCCCTAAACCCCAAACGCCCTTGTCGCTAAACCCTAAAACCCTACACCCCAAACCCTAAACCCAAAACCCCTAAATCCCCTAGACCCCTAAACCCCAAACGCCCTCCTAGATTCGCACGGCAGCCCGGGACCTTTCCTCCATATCAAAATTAGATTTTGGTCTGTTATGGTCAATCATGGCACATATGGTAATTTATGGTACATTGCGGTATGTTATGAATTATTATGGTGTGCTATGGCAAATTATTGTAAATTGTGGCACATTCTGGTATATTATGGTATATCATAGAATGTTACAGTACATGATGGTATATTATACCCACCTCCCAGTCTTCGGAGCTGTGTAGATGCTCTTGAGGCCACTAGGTTGCACCACGTGGGATGAGTGGGGCATCGACGCATGGCGGCGTGATACCCTGCGCTAGAGCCCTCTTTGTTCTAGGGTTAGGCGGGTTGGGGTTCTGGGTTTAGGGGGACTCCCTAAACCCTAAACTAATATACCCTAAACCTAAGCTAATATACCCTAAACCCTAAACCTTAAACTAATATACCCTAAACCTAAGCTAATATACCCCAAACCCTAAACCCTAAACTAATATACCCTTTTGGTTGAGGCACCGGGTCCGGGATCTTGAGTAGCAAGTTTGCAGCCTTCAGACCTTCAGAGTTGAACTCCAAACCCCAACATGCTAAAGCCCAAACTCCAACATGCTAAAGCCTTGAAGCCCCACTTCGAGGATCATGGGACGTAGTACAGTACCGTTAGAGGCACCTTGACTGGGGTTCTAGCTACGTATAAGGATAGATAAGTTTATAGCTTATAACTTGTAACCCTAGTTACTAAGTTTCATGTTCCTCCAAGCACAGCCTAACTTAGAGGCTTTTATTGGGACGCATCAGAGATGCACAGGGCTTTACACGGGACAAGAGATGCTCGTGTGTCTGCGTTTCAAATGAACATATAGCGAAAGTGAGATGGAGAGGTATTTCCCGTGCCTGAAGCACATTGCAACCGAGAGAGATGTGCTACAACATGATGACTACTAGATGACTACATCATGTTGACACCAGGTGCCGCCGATTTGATTCTCCAGAGCCAGTCACTACTTGGAGGATCAGGGGACTTAGTAAGTACGGTTAAAGGAACCTTAATTGGGGTTATAAGCAATTATATGTATAGTTACTTTATTTATAGCCCTAGTTACCCTAGTTACTAAGTCCCATGATCCTTAAGTAGCTGACCAGCTGCTCCAGCGCATGGCCGCAACGTCTCCAGTGGCTCCGGTGCTGCTTGGTGCCCGAAGTGACCATGGATCCAAGTCTTCTGAGAAAAGTCATGACCGAGGGACCGAGCAGATTCAGGTCTTTGAGAGGATCCCTCGATTTTGTTTCAAGGTCTTGTTGTACTCGCCCCTCATCGCTGTGACAGCAAGCCGTCTGACTGCGAATGTCGCAACGGTTATGGACCCCAACAGCATCTGGTTTGTTGTTAAGGGATTTACTCTAAGTTACCACAATAGGGACCTATAGTAAAAAAAATGTGTTTTCCCTATTATGGTGACTTAAATTAAGCTCCTTAGCATGAGCCCAGGCATTGGACGGAAGTTCTTCTATGGGGACCACTGGCCGATCCCACTGCAAGTCTTAGACTCCTTGGCCCGTCCGCTGGTTGGAGCTCTCAGCTTCGTGCCGTTCTCCTTTCGCTTCAACTGGCAGCTGCTGCCTTCTGTGAGCCTGATCGGATGCATTGCGACGGAGTTCTTCTCGTGTTTGTGGGAGCTGTATGTGATCATGGCGACGTCTGAGGCGGATGGGCAGTGGGTCTTCGACTTCCGTGGTGGGGGGCTGGTGCTCGGCTGCTGGGCTAGCCGCCTTTCCGTCACTGCCGTCTCACAGATGAAGCTCGAAGCCCTCGGCTGGGAACGCCTTGGCCTCGTCTGCTTCTGGACTTGGCCCATGTGGCTCCTCTTCCACTCTCTCCTGTCTGCCCTTGAGCTTCGGAGGACCTGGGTTTTAATTCTCAGCTACGCCTGTCAGGGCCTCCTCGCAGCCGTCCAAGCATCCGTTCTGCTGTACGAAGCTCACATGAAGCAGAGGCTGTTAAACAAAAAGATGAGCAACAAGTTTGTCAACACGGCTTCCAGAGTTGTGTGGTTTTTGCGGCTGGGCGCATTTTTAACACTGGCAGATGCCATCTACCTTCCATTGGCAGAGAACTTTGGCAACAAGCTTGGCCTGAGCCCAGGCGTCTTTCTGACGCTGGACAACAGCATGGTGCTGGCAACTTTGCTGGTTTTGGGTGGCCTTGTCGGGCCAAGGGACACCTTGGATCAGGGAAAACTACTAGAGGAGTTAGAGCACATGGGCCGGACGCAGGGGAAACGCATTGCTTTCCCGGGCAGGGTGAACTACGACTCGCAGCATTGCATTGTGAGTTTCCCTGGCAAGTACTCGGAAGAAGCTTGGCTTTGCAGCAGGGGCGGTGGGCAATTTCGATCCGGTTGGAAGTTCCAGAAATGGGAAGTGGTGTCGATTTGCAACGTAATTGGAAGATGTATTGACGTTGTGGGTTGAAGGGAGTTTGCATTTGCGACTGAGGAGTCAAGTCCCTAAACCCTAAACCCTAAACCCTAAACCCTAAACCCTATTTCTTTTGTCTGTAAGGTTCGCAGGGCGCTCCGGAAGGCTTAGACTTGAATTTAATGCCTTACGTTAGCTGAGGCCCAAATTCGTATCTCCGGATCTGTGTACCTATGTATCGATGTGTACCTGTGTATTTATGAGTATGTACCCATGTATGTAATTATGTATCTATGTATGTATATGTGTCCGCTCAGATATACAGGTTTTCCAACAACCTTAGACCCCCTGGCCTTTAGAAGCTTAGCCCCTTGGACACTTGGACCCCTAGACCCTTAGACCTTGAATCCTGGCCCCTTAATTAGACGCTTAGATCCCTTGACCTTCAGACACTCAGCGCGCGGACCTCGATCCCTGGACCCGTAATATAGCCTTAATCATTACCTATACTATTGTGGGGTTCCCTATGATAAGTATAGTTTCATGGTTTCATGGTCCCCAAACCCTATTCTAATTATTAAGGCCCCTATACTCTAGAACCCTACGAGAGATCCCTTCTTGACCCCTTGAAGGATCCCTTTAAAGGGAGTGACCCCCTTTAAGGAACCCTTCAAAGGGTGTGAGACACTTGGACTCCCGACCTCCCGCGCCTGCCCCCTGTTCTCTGCCTCGCCCCTGCCCGCTTTACTCCGGCTCCTCCGTGAATTGGGGGTTTTTGATCCCTAAGGGTTCTATAAGGGTGCCTTTAAGGGTTAGTTTAAGGGATCTTTAGGGGTTCTAAAAGGGTTTAAGGTTTAAAGGTCCATGTGGGAGTTTCCGAAAACAGGGGACCCTAATATAGTACCCTAAATAGTAGGATCCTTATTATAAGGACCCCAAAATAGGGTACCCCTGATTTTCGGAAACTCGCATAGAACCTTAGACTTACCTTTGGTTAGTAGGGAATGGAGGAATGGGGTACAGATATCACTACTATTACTACCATTCTTCATTCCCTACTAACCAGAGGTAAGTAGACACACCTTCACCGATTCTATCGATGGCTTGAATTCAAATCCTAGGACCCATAGTAGGCCCTTATTCCCTTTTTGAGGGTTTAGGTTCCCTGAAAGCACCCTTTAAACCAAAAAGGGCACCCTTTTTACTCCTAGGTTACTCTTAGGTCTAGAATCGAAGCCCTGTAGGACAGCCAAGCATAAATTCGAGTTTGAATCCTTCCTGTGGCGCCTTCAGAGGCTCCCAGAGACTCCAATACCCCTTAATTAAGGAATATTCCTGAAATCATATTAAGGATCCTACTATAATTTAAGGTATATTCCTTAATTAAGGGGTATTGGAGTCTCTGGGCTTAACTCCGGATGTAAGCCGTCTGGATGCTAGGGCTTCGCCGCTACCGGGGTGGGGAATAAAGTTGAATGTAATCCTTGCTTGAAATCGAAACCCTGCCTCATCCACTGAGGAGTGGGATGCTGCGGTGCGGATGGTGGAAGTGCGCTCCAGCGCGTGTAGCCTGGCTTGCGTTTTTCTAACAGATCCTGATTCTGGCCTAGGCGTGCACGAGGACAACCCGGAGGAACCGGGCAACTGCTGGTGCAAAGCGCTCTACGGCCAGGTTCCAGCGGCAACGTACATCACTATAGTGGAAGATCCAATGGCTTTGAGTGCCGAGGACCTTCGTTTCAAAGAGAGCGATGCTGCCGCCATGGGCCAAATCTTCCTCAAGAGAGAGGGTCAGAGTGACGAGCAGTGGGCCGAGGCCAAGGAGGCGGCACAGACGGCCGCAAGGGCAAAGTGTGAAGAGAACCGTGGCCGTGCTCCTTGGGGCTGCCGCTGGTTCCACGATTGGAAACGCAACGTTGATGAAGCGGTGGCCCGTGGCCAAACTCTGCACGTGTTTTATTTTGAAGGCAGGGTCGGATGTGGGAAATTGCCCTGGCAGGAACTCTCAAACGAGACTTCTGTCAAGAAGGCCCGTGAAAACGGTGGCCTTGGAGCATCCCAAACTGCAGAGGTAGCATACTTGGAAAGGTGTGGCTGTGCCTTCCAAGAGCATGATGTAAAAGTTTTCTACCGTTTTATGGAAGAGCACAAGACCAACATTTAAGCTCATGCTCCCGCAGCACATGTGACAAGATGCATGTGGCCAAAGGGAGTCAACTCTCACTTGCTTTCACCATGAAGGGTCGCCTAGACACAAAGTCCGGCGCCACAATGACGGTCATTGCAAGAAAGCGCGGTTGTCCTGCTGTTTTCACAAGGACATGTATACAGGAGCCCAAAACCCTATTCTAGTTATCCAGGCCCCTATAGCTATAGAACCCTACTACAGATCCCTTTAAGGAAGGGTTTTGTAGAGTCTGTTCAAGAAGGCCGCAGTTCCGCAAAGCTGAGCCCATGGGCTATTCCCTTTCCAACCGAACTTTCGAACCCCAAGCCCAAGCCCAACATCGTAAGGCTGGGCCCTCAAGTCTGAGCTCTACTATCGGGGTCGGAAGATGTAGTAAGATATGATACCTTCAGTTCCCTAAGCCCTAAAACCCTAAACCCTAAACCCTAAACCTGGAACTCACTTCGTCATCCTCGAACCCGCCCAAGGAGATCTGCGCCCACCTCTGCGCCAAAGAGCACCTCAACTTGCCCTACACCCCCTTGGAGACAGTGCGGCAGGCATGCAAGAGATTGTCAGTCGTAGTGGCGCCCAGTGTCTATGTTGTGTACATAATATATATATATATATATATATATATATATATATCATTTGAGTTGCATTTCTGAATGTGTTTCGGTGCATGAGCACAGGCACAAAGATTCCGATGCATGTATGTACACAGCACATACAGACACACCTGCCCGTACGTACACATACATCTTTCTGGTAGCATAGCATAGCAGAGTACGGCACAGCACATCACAGCAAAGGATGCCAGGCCATGCCATGCCACGTCACGCCATGTCATGTCATGTCCTGCCTAAAATATACACGTGTAGACATGTGGATTTATGTTGATATGAGCATATATATATATATCTATATATATGCACAAACATGCAGCTAGCATAGTTATATATATGTACCCGTGAGTAGACGTGAATATATGAAATTAGAACATCAAAATAATATAAGAATATATGGATATACGAATCTATGGAAATTTGAATAGACTATTGCATGAGTACATGAACATATGATACATCCAAGCATGCATACATACACTCTTACATTCGTTCGTTCATTCATTCATTCATTCATTCGTTCGTTCGTTCATCCATCCATCCATCCATCCATCCATCCATGAGTATACATATATACATATATGTACACACATGTGTTTTACTATGTATATGTATATGTGTATATATATATATATATGTATGTATATGGCTGTTTGTTCATGTGCATGTTCTCCGCACCTGCACATGTAGCGCTTGGTAGTATTTGGTATCTTCCGGTGATGTCTTGGGGATTACGGCTTAGGGACCCTAAACCCTAGACCCAATACTAAACACCTTCAACCCGAAACCCTAAACCCTGGACCCTGAAATTCAGCGTCTCCAATGCCCTTAGCCCCAAACCTTAAGCCCGAGAACCGAAACCCTAAACCCGAAACCCTGAACCCTAAACTCGAAATCTTAAACTCTAAACCTTAAACCCTAAACCCGAAACCCTGAACCCTAAACTTGAAATCTTAAACTCTAAACCTTCAAACCCTAAAACCTGAACCAAAAGCTCGAAACCCAAACCTTTGCTTTTGGACCTTCGGCCTTCAGCTTCCTGTAGTTTTTCTTGGCGATCGTCGCGGGCATCAACAGCATTATGGGCCCAAAATCCTATTCCAACGATTAAGGCCCCTACATCATATGTTAATATTGCCATGATGATGATTTTTTCGAAGTCTGGTGGGTTTTGTTTGCATCTTGAAAAAGATTAGATATTCAAGGTGATTTTCTGCCCGTGTTATTCGGGCTATTGTGTACAAAACTTCGTGGTGCCGTTTAGTACTGTGGCATGTCAACAGCTGCCATTCTTGGTATTGTCATTAAGGTCATACTGTTCCTATGGGTCGACATTCTCGCAGTGTTCTCCTCGCATCATAGCCATGATGAGGTTGGCAGCCAACACATTGATCGCAAGCGTATTCCACGCAACAACTGTTCGACCGCAAGAGGAATCGGCACAGCAACAGCATGTGACTCGACCGGTAACAGTCGCCATGCCGCCGTGTTGACTTCAGGGTATCTGAGCGTACGTCGCACACCGAAGGATGAGTTCGATAACCTCCCTACCAGTTCCTTTCCCCACATCGGTGACAAGCAGAATGACTGCGCAGGTACACAGTGAAAGCTGGTGTAGCTACACAAGATATGTCTGGCCAACATCGAACGAAATCATAGCTACTGATCGTGGTGATCATGGTCATCGGGTTGATGACGATGGTGATGGCAATGATGGCAATGATGGCAATGATGATGGTGATGATGATCACGGTGGTGATGGTGTTAATGAAGGGATTGGTTGTGATACTAGCAGCACGGGCTCATCGTCCGGGGGGGTCATTGTCGCTGTTGCCGTCTTCGTCATCAGTATTACTCAAACAGCGGTTATGTTGCCAATAGCAGTAGTTGCGGCAGAATTGCGGGTATCACAAAGCGACATTTGCTGACGACAAGGGCGACTATAGTAAAAGTGTTTTCATCCACAACAAGAACGGTGCTGTGCAAGCAGCGAGATGCATAAAGCTGTGGCTGCCGTGAGACATTGGGATGCACAAAGACACTGCTTACCTTCTCGGCAGCAGGTGCGCAACAAAGCTCGTTTTCGGGAAGCCTGCGTCAAGGCCTGACCCATCTAAACCATAAAAAATCCTTACAAGAACCCTATGGATCCTTTACAAAGCTCTGCATTTAAGACTCTATCAAAGCCTTATAGTAAACCTTATAGGAATCCTAAACCCTAAACCCTTACAGAACCCTTTAAAGGGAACCTTGAACAGACCCCCTGTCTCAAAGCCTTGGACCAGTCGACGGGCTTCAAGGTCAGATCTTCCGCGAATACTATAGGGGGCCTAAATAACTATCAATACTATTTTGGGGGTTCCTTACAAAAATTATAGTCTAATATACCGCCAAAATTCTGTTCTAATTATGTAGCCTATATTACAAAGGCCTTCGTTTTTGCAAAAGGGTACCGTTTTGGGCTCCTCTTGAGAGCGGAGTATGAGGGTGTAGGGTTTAGGCTATGCTGTTGACCAGGGCTTGGGACTATTTCGCAGCATGATTTTCTAGGGTTTAGGGTTTAGGGTTTAGGGCTGAATTATGAAGGGGATTGTGCGACCGGTATTGCTGTTACAACAAACTGTAGAGTCTTCTTGCACGATGTGGTGCAAAATTGAGGCCAAGAGCCTTTAAAGCCTAAGCCCTAAACAGTAAAAACCACCCTAAACCCCAAAGTTTCAGCCCTAACTCTCAACGCGAAACCCTAAGCCCGAACCCCCCCCCCCCAAAAAAAAAAAAAAAAAAAACTAAAACAACCGAATCCCCAAACGACACATTTCAAGAAGCTTTCATGGCTTCAGAGGGCTCCTTCTTAAGGGTTCCTTTGCGAGCTCCTTGGAGGTTTCCTTTTCAGGGTTTAAGGGTTCCTTTAAGATTCCTTCAAGGCGTCTTCAAAGGATTCCTTGAAGGGTGGTTTTTAAGGGTTCCTTAACAGCTTCAGTCAGCGGCATGCTGCGAGATACGGGTTCTCGCATTAAAGGGCCGTTGCCTAGTCGAAGCCAGTAATGTAGCAGCCTTACGACTTTGATTGCTTGGAGGGTCATGGGACTTGGTAACTAAGGGTTATACAGAGGGTAACTCGATGTATGCCTACTTACGTAAATATATCTCCCTTTGTGGTACTTAAAACCTTACATATTCCTTGAAGCCCTTGAGGGGTTCTATAAGGCGTATTGTCAGGCGTACTTTGAGGGTTTAGTGCCACGATGCTGTGGGCTGAGCTGTGCACGAAAGACTTCGAGCGGCAGGCCCAAAAGAAATCGTCCGCCAAGCACCGCAGACAACAGCAAAAGAGCGAAGAGGAGGTCAGGGACCTCTACGATGTTTGCGCCGTGTGGCAGCATGGCAAGGCAGAACTGGTCTCCGACTTCAGTGGCCACCAGGTCGACGCAACGGAAGCACTCTTCCCGGAAAGGGAGTGTTGCTGGGCATTACGTTCTTGGTGACTCTTAAGCAATTACATCTTGTTGGCAAGTATACTTGGTGCAGTTGTTTTGTCACATGACATGGGCTTTAATAATCAGAATAGGGTTTTGGGGCATGGTATGTTACACTTACAAGGAACCCCCGAGGAATGGTATCATTGATTATTTAGGCTTCAATAGTAGCCCGACGGCCCGGGTCTGGGGATCATGGTTTAGGGATTAGGGTTTAGGCTTTACTGAGCCCTGACACCTGAGCCTGAACCCTAAATCCTGCATACGCTAAGACTTCAAGATGTGCCGCTGGTAGGACAAAGCGCGGTAAGCCCTACACCCTGTAAACCCAGGGGGGCATTCCTGCCCCGCGCTTCGCGAACATCCACACCAAGGCTGAAAGCTCGCTTCCGTCCTGTGGGGCTTAGCGTTATCCGCGATGATTACTACATGGGCAGTTGTCAAAATCATGGTCCTCTTGGGGAACCCTACAAGATTCCACTCTGAATACCGCACTCTCTAGTTTGCTAACCCGAACGGGAGCCTGTGGGTGGTTGTCAAAATTAGGGTCCCTTTTTGGGTCCTTATTATAATACTTCACCTAATATTTAGGGTACCTCAAAAAGAGACCCTAAATTTGAGATCTACCCATGTGGACAACCACCCACATAACCCCAGCGTTGCTTCTATCTCAGAGCTGGGTCCCAGTGTCATAGGAGGCCAAAAGCGTTTTAGCCTATGGGGGTTAAGTAGGGATTAGGGTTCCCATAATAGGGTTCATGTTAAGGAATCCCTACCCCAAGAATCTTAAACCCCCCTTTTGACCTCCCATCACTGTGTCCCAAGGCCTTGTTGCCCAAAATACTAATCCAAGTAGGAGAGTAGTAACCTTTAACCTTTTTTGGGTAGTATAGTC